GCAATATGAGCAAGGGAGAACGAATCTACTATCTCAACTGCAAGCACAGGAGAAAGAAATGAACACGGTGAACAATGCTGATATTCAATCTGAGTCGCACACAGTGACACGAGGTATCAGCTATAAAGAAAAAACACTACAAACGTTAACATGTGAAAGTTACTCGAGAAATACTTCTTACAATGCACTGATTACTGTCAACTAGGATGGGATCACCATCTAAACACAAGGAACAACAACAGACACTCTAGTGAGAACACTTGCTGTAACAGAGACGTCTTTCTGCAGACAGCATGTCACATCAACAAGAGATGGCATTACTAGTTGCAAGTAATCGTATTCTGACAAGGCATCCCCTGTGGAGAAACTACTACTCGAACTAGCAGTCATTGCAGGGATAGGCTGTGCACTCAAGGCAGTCTGAGTGTCCCCGACACTTGAGGCAACGGAACACTATCCTGCAAGTCTGAAGGTATAGGTGGAACACAGACGGAATGACAAAATTTAAACTATGCCTGACCGCTCGCTACGTTAATAAGTAAATTCACGGATCTATAAGAACTAATCAAAACTTCACATTTCGCAGCACTTTAACAAATCTCAGATACAACTGTGAGAACAAACACATGCTCAAGGGCTAGGTATTGTCTTCCGTCAGTAAGGGAATTTTGGGTACTGGGGACTGATTCATATTGACTTTGACGGGAATGATACACTAAGTGAACGTCAAAAGTGACTGGGACATCTCTCATGAAATACTGAAGGCATAAGTCAAGAAAAATGGAGAGAATGACACAATAAGTTTAAAAATGAAGAAAAATGCTTAACTATTCTGCATAAAAATTTTAAAAATTGAACAAGTTACACAGTAAGCAAAGAACTCACACAAGAAATAATATGCAACTAACAAACACTGAAAATAAAGAGAACTTGTACTTGCTCAAATCTAATATGCTAAACTTTTATTTTAAAATTGAAAAATGGCACAGTGAGTTGTCTTTACTTTCAATGCAACAAGGGAAAAAATACACAAAAAAAATAATAAAATGGACTCAATAAACTTGTGCAAAAATTAAAACAAACACACAATTCGCTGAAATAAAAATTAAAATGACAAAAACAGAATAAAATACATGCACAAACAAGCATAAGAAACTGCACTGTAATAAACTGTATTGCACAACACTGCATAAAAATTCTGCAAGAAAAACTTTAATAGCAACACAATATTTGCACAAGAATATTGCAAAATGATCAATGTGCAATAATAAAAATTATAACACACAAGAAAAGAAATATATCAAGAATGAACACTTTAACTCTTAACTGCACTAAAACAACAAGCAAAAGAACAATTTAAATTTAAAAGGAGAACTTAAAAATTTCACTAAGAGTGAATTTGTTCAATAAAACATGAAAAAAAATAATAGGGGCAAAAAAAACACACAACAAAAAGAAATACAACACTTACAGTGATGCAGACACAAAACACAACATAAACTCAGTACTAAAAAATTTTCTTGCAATGAAACTTTATGTTTTTAAAAAAATTTTGTAAACAGATTTCTTGCTGGAGCTTTAAAAATGGCACTATTGTCTTGGAAATAAGACAAATTAAACACTGGCTGAAGGAAAATATGAACCAAGAATGTTCAACACACAGGGGAAAAAACAAAAAACACAATTGCTAGGAAGAAAAAAAATAACAGACAACACTGATTGTGATGCAGAAATGAGTGAAAAAATTTACTGATTAATTCACTGGGAATTCTGAAGTTTAAACACAATTCTATACTGCTCAATGTTGCACACACAACAAAGAAAAAACTAATACTTATTACTTCAAGTGTGTATAAAAAGAAACACAACACAAAAAGATATAAAATAATACACAAAATTAACACTGAATTAAGGAGATTAAAAGAAAATTTAAAAGAAACAGTACATGATAAACACTGAGTCTGATCAAGAGTCACGATGTCACAAGAAAAAATTTACTGGGGAAACAAAAGAAATGTCCAAAACTCGAAAAAGTCTCAAAAAAAAAAAAAAATTTTTACGTAACACTTAAAAAAAAGAATTGAAGGATTGGTTTTTTTAACGTCTTTTGCTGCTGTC